ATCTTGCTGATTTGTTTAATGTCTATCTCTCCCACTAGGATACAAATGCCACTAAAGAGATCTTGTTGGTTTTCACCATTGCATCCCCAATGCACAAAACAGTACCCATCTGATTGTAGGTGCTCAATAAAATTTGTTGAATAAGTGAGAAAAAGTATAAGAAGGTAGTTCCTGCTCTGAAGGAATTAAATCATGTGTGATATATCAGTAAGAAAATGTGCAATTACAGCAATGTTGAATTACTGTTAAGAGTTTGGAGAAGGTGAATGTTGGGAGCTCTAGGAGCAAAGAAGATGGAGACTAACCCAGACTTAGGGGGCAGGGTAGGCTTTCTCCATGTATTTGCAATTAAAAGCTGAGATCAAAAAGACATACAGAATTTCCAGTCAAGGGAGAGGCAGATGTGGGTAAAGCTTTCCAAGTGGAGGTAACAATTGAAATACAAAATCCAAGAGAAGATAGTAACCTCACAGAACACAGTATAATAGAGAGAATCAAAGAATACTTAGGAAAAAGTATTCCTAGTGACTGAGGAACTTAATGATTAAGTATATGTAAGGGATGAGGGAAAAGGAGTAATTAAACATTATGCTTAATTAAAGATTACCCCTAAGTTTTGGGCTTGCAAAGCTGCATGAATGGTATTTTCATCCAAGAAAGGGAGGAAAGAGAGAGAAGGGGGAGGGGAGAAAAAGGAAAACAGGAGGAAGAGTAAATTTGAAAGAAAAAGAAAAATTAATTCAGTTTCAGGTTTCAGGAGATTGATTTCTGGATGGAAAAAATCCCACAATTCAATAAATGTATGTGGAATTCAGGCAAAATAAAAGGGCTAGAAATACAGATTTATAAATACTTAGCACTAAGAATATAAATGATGCCACAGTAGTAAGGATGACCCCTCAAAAGGGTTCACTAAGAAGCTTATACTAGGTCAGTACACTGAAATACAGTATTTAATGTCCAGGAAGACAAAGAGGGGCCCCTAAGAGAAAGTTCTAGAGGCAAAAATGCAAAAAGAAAATATGGTAGAGGTACCTTCTATACATGTATGAATATGGAACATTGAAGTCTGTCAAAGTCATTTAACAAGGAGAGTGGGGGAAGAGGGAGAATGTTGGAGTAGATAAACCAAACTGGGGTATAATATATGTTTATATGAAAACAACAAAATCCCCTCTATATATCTCACATAATAATAAAAATGTCCTAAAGCAAAAAAAGACAATGAAAAACAGAAGAGTGTATCATGGGAAATCTAGGGACTACAATATTCAAGGTAGTGGAACAGTGTTAAAAAGCTGTCTGTAGGTTTAATAAGATAGACTCAAACAAGCAGTTGGGTAAAAACATGTCTTCTAAACCGGTAAGTATTCATCTTAACAATTAAAATTTCCCTGAGAACTATGAAGGAAAGAAAAACAAAAAAATCAGTTCAAATTCTGGTTCATGGGAAAGAATGCATTTTCCTTTAAATCCCATTTGTTTCACTTAATTTTTTACCATTGGGTCTTAGACTGGTAATATACATACTTTCTTTTTTCAATTTGAGTTAACAGAGAAATCATTCAGTAAATACCTATCACTCTTGGTATTTAGTATTCAAACCTTCTGGCTAATTCTTGAGGCAATTTTGCAATAAGGAAACGATTCTTGGCTGTGAGTCAAGACTGCACAAAACAAGCAAAACCACTCTTAAAGATCAGGTCTCTCTGTGTGTGTTTAAATCACTAACACAGTTATAGGCTATGTCAATAAACTTGCTCAGTAGCAAGAATACATGAGTGCCATTCTCTTTTTAAATACAAATTCACAGTTAAAGAGGCAATGTGGATAAAGCTCAAGACTGACAGCCAGAAACTTGAAACACTGGTCGTTTCTGTCAATGACTGTCTGACCAACTCTGAGAATATTCTATAACTCGTTCAGAAAATAACATAGTAAGCAATTTAATGATTCTAAATTAGAATTAGATAATGAAACAAAAGAAATAATTACAGGAATGGAGATAGGAATACACAAATATTATGCCAAAAGTAAAGTTTTAAAACCCCATGATGATTGTAACTGCTTATTGACAAAGTGTAGTCTATGTTTTTCAAGAATAGAACAAGATCCAGGACACATAACCCAAAGGGGGTCTTTCAGGGTTAGCATTTCACAGTGATGAGGTCAAGGCAAAAGGCATATCCAGACATATCTTTTCTTTCCATTCTCACTCCAGTATATGATACCTTTAGGCTGGGCATTTCAGCTCTCTCCTCTCATAGGAAGGGCCACTCAGTAAAGAAGAGCAAAGGGATTTAGCGTAGAAGTCACTTAGTAACTAGAATAAAGTCCTTATGAACATGGAGTCAAGTCAAATGCGAGCTGTTTCACTTAACTGGAAACCACTTTGTATTGTGAAAAAGGATGAGAATTAGCTCATAGGTTGCCTATTCCTGCTTTGGAGCCAGTGTTCATCACATACTAGGCATTCTGCCAAAATCAACACATTTTATCCTCAAATAACACTATGAGGCATCCCATCTTAAGTTAAGGAAACAAAAGGATAAGAGAGGTGAGTCACAAAGCTCATAGGTCATATTTTATAATAATTTTTAAAAAGAACTTTACATACAAATTCTGAGATAATGTAGCATATAGGTCCTAGATAATAACCTTATATTCAAGTACTGCCACGCAACTTCAGTGGCCTCATTTTTTATGTTTATGATGGTGTGAATTTCACATGACATGTGACGATCACATGATATTGAACCTTTCTATAAGAAGATGTTTCACAGTAGTGGTATGAGAACTGAGTCCTCACAGGCCACTCAATGGCACTCCAAGCGAAAGAAAACCAGCCAGCTCTGAACAGTTAATGGCACATTTGTGCTTTTGGTTACATGGCACTGGGTGGGCCCTAACCTTGAGCATACTAATTTGTAATAGTTCATTAACAGTAAGTAGGGTAGTAAAGACCACAATGGATGTTCCAATGCCAGTAATAATGGCATCTGCCATCATTTAAGGGCTTCAAGATAATGCTATATTTGTTTCTATTGCTACTACACTTAAACTTAGTGGCTTAAAAACCATAAATGTATTACATTACAGTTCTGTAGGTTAGAAGCCTGACACATGTCTCAGTGGCAAAATTAAAGGTGTTGGCATGACTGGGTTGCCTTCTGGAGGCTGTAGTAGAAGAATCTATTTCTCTTTATTTCCCACCTTTCAGATGGCACCTGCATTCCTTCATGCATGGCCTCCTTCTTCTGTCTTTAAAGCCAGTAACAGATAGTTGAGTCCTCTCCCACCTGTCACTCTGACATTGTTTCCATTGTCAAATCTCTCTCTCTGATTCACTCCTTCTACTCTTCTACGTTTAAGTCTCATGGTGTTTATATAGGCCAACTCAAGTAAGCCAGCATAGTGTCCCTATTTTAATATCAGCTGATTGGCAACCTTAACTTCTCTATGCCAGGTAGCCTAACATATCTGCAGGACATGACTTTGGCCGGGGGGGTGGGGGGGACATTGTTCTATCAATAGCTACGTGCTAGCTACTTCATCAGATAAAAAATGAAACACCACAGGGCTATCAAGTTATTGCTCACTAATACTGACATTCAAAGACTGATCACTGACAAAGTTTAGATTAAATATAATTTCTGATTTTAATGAGCTAGCAAAGACTCAAAGATATTAATGTTTTTATATAAGTATACTTAAATAAACACATTTTCTCTGCAACAATATTATTTGATTAAAATACAAATATATTGGATCTTTTCCTATTATTTCCACTATTAAGTCCACTAACAATAATTTGGCTTTGATAAAACACCATATGGAGTTTATACCTAGTTCTTTGTTTCTACACATTTGAGTAATGTTAAAAATAATTGAGTCAAAAGCAGGAATTTACAAGGGATTTATTTAACTGTCAGTTTTGAGAAAGACTCAAGTGTAGAGTAGAGATTTAGATAGCATGGCATTTGCTGTCAGATCTGGACTCAGCTGTCAGCTCTGCAACTTGCTAGCTATAAGACCACAGACAAGCTGCTTATAATTGTTAGGTATTCAGTCCCCTCATCTAGAAAAGAATAAGCCTACCTTATAAACTGATAAGGAGGATAATAAGAAATTATATATGTAAAATGCTCAGCACGGTTCCTGGCCACCATCAAGTTCTCATAAAGTAAAACTATCATTTATTTTATAAAACTATACCCAAGATTCAAAACAAAAAAAAGAAAAGGTAAATTTCAGTGTCTAGAATGTTACATTTTCTCATTAAACTGCAAGTTCAAACAATTTAAAAGAATAATACCAGATATTTACTATCTAAATTTTCTATGGATCTGATCAGTTTTAAATTATCTTTCTCTTTTTTTTTTGGGCAGCACTGGGGTTTTAAATTCAGGGCCTCAGGTTTGCTAGGCAAGGCGCTCTACCACTTGAGCCACTCTGCCAGCTTAAAATATCTTTCAATTTAATTAACTCATTTATTGCTCTTAATATTTAGTTATCTTTTATGTCTGTAACTAATTTAAAAAAATTGGCCTTCCTAAAAGCTTTACATTTTAGTAATTACAGTACTATTTCTAGCTCTACAAGTAATATAGTATGGTGGATTATCTTTAGCTGTTACTTTCTACCTTTCTAAAAAAAAAATACCCTGGGATACATTAATGGAATATGACTAGAAAAAAGTAATAATAACAGACCATCCTAGGAATATTGAATGCCTGAGTGACATTTAAAGTGAACACTAAGAGTCAGCTCCGAAGGCTGCATTCATCCGTTCAAAACAGTACGACTTTGAAATAATGACTTTCATTCTAAACCAAGAATGAATATGCAAAAAAGGATTGATGGAAGTGAAATGAATTAACACTGATATGAAAAAAAAAGATATTTTTGTAAGATTAACTCAAAATACATATTGGTACAATTATTTTACAATATTTCCAGACAGTTCTCTCTTTTACATTATCAGGCATAGAAATACTTACAGTTTAATAATATGAGGATGACGAAAGAGTTTTAGGTTTTGAATTTCTCGTTTTATTTTCCCAACAACATCTAAACTGCGAATCTTCTGTCTGTTTAAGATTTTAACTGCTACTTTGTGGCCTGTCAATTGATGTTCTCCAACTAAAGAAAAGAAAGAGAAAAATACTGCTGTCATATCAACGTAATCATTTCCTTCTGCTTCCTTCCACTATGCCCTGGATTCCTTCACTCATTCGTGCCACTTTTATACCACCTGCTGTGCACTTCCCCCCCCCCCC